AATTAAGCCAACATTTGATCTTCTGTGCCTTACTTTTCAACTCCAGAACTGAAGCAGTTAGAACGAAAGACCCAGGCATCAACCCTGAGCAATACTTAAACAAACAGCAACCCTTGATGTGGTCAAAAGAGAGAACATACCTGAGAGAAGAAAAGCCACTTCGTGTGTCTTCCTAGGTGTTTAAAGGTGTGTTTAGCAAGCAGAACTTTCTGTTCTGTTCTGTGGACTTTGCTTCCCATTTACCAAATGTGTTCATCACACAGGCATTGATCCTTCAGAAAACAACAGATGGGCCACTGGTTAGAGATTTTCCAGCAATGGGTGATGAATCCTGGGACCCATGATTTTTGTTTGGGTCATTTTTTTCATTAAAAGTTTTTGCTGGCCGGGCTCAGTGGCTCGGCCTGTAATGCCAGCACTTTGGGAGGCCGAGGTAAGTGGATTGCCTGAGCCCGTGGGTTCGAGACTCGCCTGGGTAACTTGGCGAGACCTCATCTCTACAATAAATCAAAAAATTAGCCGGGTGTGGTAGCACGTGCCTGTAGTTCCAGCTACTTGGAAGGCTGAGGTGGAAGGATTGCCAGAGCCCAGCAGGCCGGGAGTGGCCACTGCACTCCAGTCTGGGCAACAGAGTGAGGCTCCAACTCAAAAAAAAAAAAAGTTTTTGCTGGATGTCCATGAAGTACATACCAACAAAAATATAACTGTATTTCATTGACTCTAAGAAACCATCCATTATAAGATACTCTGTCATTTCATATTGCTAAAGAAACACTGTCAGTTAAGTATGTTTTCTTATCATTTGACTGTTTACATGCATCCCATTTTTGAATATGCTACAATGTTCTTTAAAGTATCTGTTAGAATTTCTGGTATCTCTATGTCTAGATGAGACTGGGCTTTGACTGCAAAGGTCAGGTGTTTAAATACCGCTGTTGACAGTCTGACTTTTTAATGAGTAATGAGTGGTATTAATATGTCTTTGGAGCAAGGGTTCATGCAGAACATGTAAAACGTATAAATTATTCTAATAACCTATAATTGGGGACAGACTGACAGGATTTTCACTTGACAGTTAAACATTAGAAGTTCAGAGAAGATCATTTGCAGTATAACATGATGTAGTATAATGATTGTTGAGCCTGGAATCTGAAGACCTCACCCTGACACCCTACTCTCACTGTCCCTTACTTGTGTGTAGTCCCAAGTGGATTATTTCAGTTTTTCTGAACCTCAGCTGCTTATACAGTCGAAAAAGGATGAGGATGCCTGGCAGATGGCATTTGTAGTCAGCACGCTGTGACACTAGTAGAGCCTGTGAAGTCCTCGGGGCCTTCCATATCACAATCTTAGGAGAGAGACCTTGAGGGGGGTGCAGAGAGAGAAAGGCCCATGGCGTGCAGAGACCTTCCCAGCACATGGATTCTGCAGCAAGAAGGTGTGACTAACACAAAGAAGAGGGCTTCAGGAATTAAAGGACGCCGTCGTGAGTGTATGGGAGGTGGAAGTTATGACTGTTGTGCAAAAACAAGAGTCTGGGTTCTCTTGAAGTGACTTGAGTCCTGGCATTTGAGTTTGACTTGTGCAAGTTCAACAATTATGGTGGCTCATGGAAAGGTGAAGTCAACTGTTTAGCAAGGTCACTTAGGGCCACTTAGGAGGCAGAAAAGAGATCTGTGGCATAATCTCTTCCTACAGTATGTCTTCCTACATCTTAGCCTGGTCACGTCACCTCTTTGGGTCTCTGTTCTCATATTTATAAACCAAGGAGGTGGGACTGGGTTATGATGGCACCCAGGCTAGGCTTGTTGGTGATTGTTTTGTGGTCATTGCTAAGGTCTCAGGACCCAACTCCTGTCCTCCCACTGAGCTACAGCTTCCAAGTCCTCTCTGCTCATCTTTGGGCCCCTGGACTGCCACTGCTCACTGGTGAACTTGGAAAGGGAGATGAGATTTGTGTCCATATCCCAGAGTAGATGATTTTGATGGTCCCTTTGAGTATTTATCATTTTTTGATTTTCTGGACTTCCCAAATCCTGGCCCACCATCTTCTAAGAGCACTTTCTTATAATGGTTTCAGTAGCAATGAGTAGGTGTTTTTTTTTTTTTGCTTGGTTGGTTTGGGGTTTTTTGTTTGTTTATTTGAGTCAGAGTCTCACTGTCAGAGTCTCAACCTGCTGGGCTCAGACAATACTCAGCCTCCCAAGTAACTGGAACTACAGGCATGTGCCACCATGCCTGGCTGATTATTTATTTATCGTGGAGACAACTCTTGCCATGTTGCCCAGGCTGGTCTCGAACCCTCAGGCTCAGGCAGTTCTCTCACCTGCGCTTCTCAAAGTGCTGGAATTACAGGCATGAGCCACAGCTCCAGGCTGAGTAGGTGTTAAATGAAGGAATATATTCATGGTTCCTGACAGAACAATTCCCAACTCCAAGGGCATGACAGACTGAGTTCCACTCCTTATCCTGCCTGTGAAGGACACCGTGTGGCTACAACCATCTGAAGCTTTTTAAAGCCAGCTAGATTTTCAAGCCAAATCTAGAGAGTGTCTTCCCTCAAGTTTATCAGAAGGAACTTTTAGATGCTTTTCATCCCTGCCTCCCAGTTGGGGGATGTTCTGCCTTCCTCAGGGCAAGGACAGACTGGCTCTTTTTCTTCCCACCAAGGACAACCATTTTGCAGTGATTATACTGCACATGAATTGTACCCATAGAAACCTCACAATTTGAAGAGGAGAGAAGTGAACTTAGTCCACTGCCTTATAAAATGTTGACACTGAGTGCGTTATTTATTTAACCGCAGTTCCTGCATATGACATTTTGCCAATGAAGGGGGTGTGCAGAGCATTTGTGTTCATGTTAAGTCCCATAGTTCCTGTCCATTGGCTCTTGGGATCATGTGTAACCTAGAGCAGCAGTCCCCAACCTTTTTTGCATCAGTGACCCGTTTCATGGAAAACAATTTTTCCATGCACAAGGAGGGGGTGATATCGGAATAATTGAAGCACATTACATGTATTGTGCACTTAGTTTATTACACTATAATATATAATGAAATAATTATACAACTCACCATAAAGTAGAATCCTTGGGAGCCCTGGTTTTGTTTTCCTGTAACTAGATGGTCCCATCTGGTGGTGATGGGAGACATCACCGGCATCAGTCACCACCTCAGCTCCACCTCAGATCATCAGGCATTAGATTCTCATGAGGAGCACGCAACCTAGATCCCTCGCATGCACAGTTTACAATAGGGTTCACGCTGCTATGAGAATCTAATTCCCCGCTGATCTGACAGGAGGCCTAGCTCAGGCAGTAATGTGAGCGATGGGGAACAGCTGTTAATCCAGATGAAGCTTTGCTTTCGCCCATGGCTCACCTTCTGCCGTGTGGCCCGGTTCCTAACAGACCACAGACCAGTACCTGTCCATGGCCCCGTTGTTGGGGACCTCTGCCTTAGAGGAGAGACACAGGAACGATGACCCTGGTAGCAACAAATCCCCTCATAGAAGTTTCTTGGGATCACCTTCTTCTCTGTGGACATCTGTTCATGGATCCCTTTAACCCCCTCAGTGCTGGCCCGGCCATGGATGGACACGCAGAAATGAAGGGATTTTTTCTGTTTACTATTCCGGATGCATCTTTTTCAAGATGCCTTCTTCACCTGCTGAATTGGCTGTAACACTCCACCCTGGCCACCTCCTGCTGAGGAACGTGCGCACGTTGTGATGCTGTGTCCCCGTCTGCCATGGCTGGAACAGATGCGCCAGAAGTGATGGATATGGCTTCACAGACAGGGCTCCACACCCTCCCCTATTCACATGCAGATGACTTTGGCATCTTGAAAGAGGGCTGAGCCCAGGTTGTGTCCTCCTACCCTGCCACACACCTTGTCCCTGCCAGCCCATGGCTGGAGCTTGGCCTCCCACATTGTCTGCCTCCGAGGCCCTATCTCCATAGCTCCTGAATGCCTCTATTGTCAGATGTGCTGCCCAGCCTGGAGTCTGTCTCAGGCCCGGCTCTCATCCCCAGAAATCCGAGTCATGACTCAGTGGCCTCCGGCCTATAGCGCACCTACTGACAGGGCCTCTGTGAGTGACAGAGCACAGATGGAGAGGAGGACTCATCTTGGGACTGTCACAGGGCTCTGTCCCCAAGTCAGGTGCCTTTTCAGCCCATGTGTGTTTTATAGACACTCCTCCCCCAGGAGAATTGACACAAAGGGGTGAAAATCAGCAGCACCTGATCTTCCTGTGGAAGGTGGGAGTCAGCACTAAATATATTATACATGCATACTTGTGCATACATGTATGCTTTCATATATGAACACACACGGATACACACACATAAACACATGCATACACACACGAACACATGCATATATGAACACGCGGACATATAAACATATAAATACATACATGAACACACCCATACATGCATATATGCATACACGTATAAACAGATTACTCATGCATACACGTATATACACATACTCATACATACATACATACACGTATAAACAAGCATACATACATACGTACACATGTATATAAACTAACTCACTCTTTCCCTCTCTCCCTTTTAATTCTGGGTCTCTTTGTAATGTCAGGTGACTCTTCCCTACCCAGTTTGAAGGCTTGCCCATTCCCACCTTAGGAAACCTGTGACTCAGTGGGATAAAGCCATTCAAGCACAGTCCCTCTACCCCTCTCGCAGCCTGGTGAGATATGTCTGAAATGACAGCAGGCGACTTGAATCTGAGTCCAGGTTGGATTCTTTGGTCTGAGGAGCAAATGGTGTTTGCGTGAATGAGAGTGGTACTCAAGAGTGTGCATGCATGTAGTCCTTACAGAGCGACTTGGTTCTTGATGAGTTCTCACATTGTGTCGGACCTAAACTTTTTTCTAATGTGCGTGTATGGAGTCTATTAAAGCTCACTTTTATTTTCATACGGCAAATTGCTGATACTATGTTTTCTTCTCTTTCATGCCTTTTAGGAAAGCATGCCTCAGACGCCTCCCTTCTCAGCCATGTTTGACAGCAGCGGTTATAACCGAAACCTCTATCAGTCAGCCGAGGACAGCTGTGGCGGGTTGTATTACCATGACAACAACCTCCTCTCTGGGTCTCTGGAAGCGCTCATCCAGCACTTGGTTCCTAATATGGATTACTATCCGGATGTAAGTAGTTCTGTGCCTCTGAGACATATCTGCCTTGAGCAGAAAGTACAGTATAGTAGGCATTGATGCCACAGAATTATGTCGGAATTACTGAGTTTTCCTAATTAGAAATTGCACATTGATTATTGAATGCTTTGGGATCAATTGAACCTGGGTAGGGATCAGATCTGGGATAGTCTGCATATCAGTTTCTTTTCAAGCTAGGTGCTGAATTGCAGGCAATCTGATATAATCCAAATGAAGTATCCATAGGGTTGATCCATGAGCATACCTTAGCTTCTAAATAGAAAGTCAGAACACTGAATACTGCTAGAATATGTCATGCATGTTTTATTTCTAAGACCATCACCATGTTAAGAAAAGTGAATGTAGCCAGAGAAGTACATAGAAAAGTAAATGAGATTCATTCTCAAGGTGCAGCTCTTCACAGATGGGGATGTCAGATGACATATTAGCTTTTGTTTTACCTTGGTGACCCACATTTATATAGATGGTGATTTCTAATCTAGGGAATTTGTTGTCCATTTTTTTTTATAGTAATTCCAAGAGGGCAGAGAGGAGAACACTACAGTGCAGAGTGTTGAAGGTCTTCCTCAGCTCCAGCAAGCACACACGGTTTTCTGTCTGGGGCAATTGACTTTCTCCTTGTCCTGGTACTACAGCTGCCCCTGTGGAGTTGAGCTCAGTAGCTTAGTGATTCTACGCAGTTGATTATTGATAAAGATCTCATGAACATATCTAGAGACTGCAGTCATTTGTTTTTATAAACTATAATAATAACTATGGTGTGCAAAAGAGAGTTTGTGCTTGCCACTGTAACTCACCATAGTGCTCCTTGCTGAGTTATCACTCTGTGATTTGTTACATAGGGTTTTTCAGATATATTGCCACACAGAGAAAACTTGTAACCAAAAGTAAAAGGAATCCCTTGTTCAGCCCTGTAAGTGTTTAAGGGCTAGTAGAGACGCCTAAGGGAAAATAAAACAAAAAACAAAACAAAAAGAACCATGGAATTTTTCTTTTCATTGGGAGTCTGAAACTATTATAACAAATAAGCACTACTTCATTACTGGCTTCTTGGGAGACAATGTGGTTAAAGAAAAGTGTATAGTGTTACATTGTGCTTTATCAAATTGCTTAGCCTTTGAGCAAATAAATAGGTGACTTGAAAGCCTGCCTCGGAGTGTTCTGACACAAACGCTTCAGTGTGACTTGCTAGACTAGACACACTAGAGAATTCTTGAGCTGAATGTGGATTAGGCGGGTGGATTTTTGTTTGTTTTTTTATTTTATTTTATTTTTTGGGGTTTCTATTGGGTTACCATACTATTTGGCCATAGAACTGTATTCTGTATGGGTGTTGTATTTAAGTTAGGTTTATCTCTCTGGGCTGAATTTCAGTCTCTCTTACTGGAGTAAACTGTGTGTCCCGGTGTCTTCCCTGGGGAAGAATGTGGAAATGTGCTCTGAATAATCTCGGGAGCCAAGCTTATTCTTTGGTTATTTTTGGTATGGTTTAAGGGAAAGGATATATCAGAAGGTAAATGAGAACTCTGTCTTACAGTGTGGTTATTGCTTGTGAAACTGCAGCAGATTCACTTGATCCAGGGAACTTAATGAAATAAGATGTATCATACAAGGTCTGACAATTAGATTCGTGAACCATCCTAGGAAAGGAACTGCATAACTCATTGCTGAATATCACTATGGTCACCTTTGAAGAACTCCCCTTGGAAATCTATGCTTCAATACCAGTGTCTAGTCCACCCATCTGAGCAATTTTGGAACTTTTTCTGGAATGACCATTTATAGCCATCCATCATCAGACTACCCTTGATGTCCTGAATGTCATCAAAATATCTTCTTTTCAATATTTCCTTTATATTCAGGTAAAGAAAAAAAAAGTCACTAGGGGCCAGATCAGGTGCGTAGGGCAGATGTTCAAATAGTTGTTTGTACAGTACTGCCAATGTAAGGGCATGCGACAAGTTCACGAACTTAATTGTCAGACCCCAACAAGTAACAACAACAGCTCTGACAGTCATTCTAGAAAAAGAGTTCCAAAATTGCTTTGATGGGTGGACTAGGCACTGGTGTTAGTGCATAACTTCCCAAGGGGAGTCTTTTGAAGGTGACCATAGTGATATTCAACAATGAGGTATGGAGCACTTTTTCTAAGTTGGTTCACAAACCTAATTGTCAGACCTTGTATAGGAATGATAATTTCAGAGACAGTGTAACCATGCTGATTTTCTTTCTGTTGCAGAGAACTTACATATTCACCTTCCTGCTCAGTTCTCGGTTATTCATGCATCCCTACGAGCTAATGGCCAAAGTTTGCCACTTGTGTGTTGAGCATCAGAGACTCAATGATCCTGATAGTGATAAGGTAATGATACCTTTTTAATTTACAGGGTTTTTAAAAATTATTATATATGCTAATTCTATGGTTTAGATTTGGGGAAGCAGGTTTTCTTAAATAACCCGAGCTTATTCCCAGGCTCAAGTTCATAAATACATCATGGCTGTGCAAGGGGGATTGTGAATGGTCTAGAGAACACAGGATACATCCAATGCTATGAGGAATTCCTAGATCCTGCCTTAAATTGGTGGTACTTGGCATTGATATGGAGGGAGGGGGAGCTTCCTCTACAATCCCAAAGCACTAAACATTTATCAGTGATACTGTAATTATTTGTTTGATATAGTCCATGTTGATGAATACCACTGAGTTAAATTTGCTTTTTCTTCTAGAACCAGATAAGAAAAATTGCACCCAAAATCCTTCAACTTCTTACGGAATGGACGGAAACATTTCCTTATGATTTTCGGGATGAAAGAATGATGAGAAACTTAAAAGATCTGGCTCACCGAATAGCCAGCGGCGAGGAGGTTGGTAACCTGAATTCAACACAGCCCCTGGAATTCCCAGGCACAGCCTGGGTGGGAATTGCATTGAAGGATGCCTCAGAGTCTCCCCTGCTTCCTTCCTGCTCTGCCTCTGGGCAAGCCCTCTCTGTGGCATCTTGGCCTATTGAGTATGTCACGTGGGGATGATTACAACATCCACTTCAAAGGGGCATGATAAAGAGCTTTACATAGTTAATCTGGGGCTGTGTTCATGTTCGTTCATGCTCAGGATTTGTGTTGCAAGTGTGTTTGATTTTATTTTACTTAGACCTTTCTTCCTTCCAAACAGGCTCAAGGCAGCTAGTTAGACAAATGGTATAGTAAAAGCTACAAACACTAGTAGATACAAAGTCAGTGCCATTAGTGGTATAACAGATGATGAGTAGTAGATTCATGAATCATAAGTAGAAACGGACGATCTGGGTCATGAAGGAAGAAAACACGTATGTTGACACTGAAGGCCATTAGAGTAAGACAGGAAGGCTGAAGTTGCAAATGAAGAGAAAGTGCAGCAGGTTATATGATCTTCTCATCACAAAAAAGAAAGTCATACTAATCCTTCATGGCATTAAAGAAACATTTTAAAAATTCTCTTATGAGGGACTTTGGACAGAGGCACAGAATGAGATCCGTGGACACTGCCCTCTAGAGTGTTTACCGCAAATACCCCTTGGCGAAAGCTGAGCCAAAGATGAATGTATCCATTAGCAAAGGTAGTTTTTGGGGGTAGGAAGAAAAGACCCAGAAATGATGCCGATCTTCTGGTGCCTGAAGCTGACTCAAGGCCAGGACCTATATAGGTGAAGATTAAAAGGCAGTCTCCTAGATAATCATTCATAAACATCACTTCCTGCAGTGAGCCTTTGATAAGAGCCAACTAGCTGGGACAAATTCAAGGTTATCCTCTTTGAAGCAAGTCAGAGAACTGTGAATCTCTGTTGAGACTTGTTGGGCAAGGATGGCCTTGTAGTTTCTGCGTTGCTCTTAGGCTACTGGAAACAAGATTTTTAGGCACAGATACAACATTTTCACATGTAAAAAAGTAAAGGAAGCATTTGGCATTTGCAGTGATGTCTTGTTTCATTTGTCTTAAATACTTTTTCCCATTAGAAATAACTTGTCTTGAGAGCTCATTCTTTCAATGGTGTGCTACATAGATAACATAATAAGACACCCTATCTGTTCTAATTCTTGTGGATACATTTTAATTCCCATTCTCCCCACTTAAAAAAATAAGGCTAAAATTATCTAAGATGAGCACTTGAAAATTGTATACCTGACTTTCCTGTGCAGTGTTCTACTCATGAAAATGAAATTAACCCTTTTATTGTTACTTTATGGCATTATATTGAACCCAGGTGCTCAAGACAGCCATTATTTCTGCAAGGCTGAATGAGTCATTTCCTGAGTCATTTCGCAAGTTATGACCATTATAATAATTTTGCTGGTGTGCCTGTTATGGTTTTAGCCAAGTATGAATTGATAATAGGTCCCTCACTCACAAGAGTGAAGCATCACCATGCATTTTTGTAGTAAATCTTATGATAGAGGGGTCAGCTGTTGAGTTACTTGGCAGGGTCGATGGTGGCTCAGTGACCTTGGTTTATGACAAACTGTTCAAAGATTAGTGGCATCATGAGGGCTTTTCCATGCATAAAGGCTGAGACCTAAGTCAGACAGCTTTTCATTTCAGTTTAGTTAGGTAGCTATATACACCTTACCTTCCCTCTGTTGCCTTTTTAAAAGAAACACCTTAATATATAACATACATATTTTATGTATTTTAAAGATAAAATCATGTTTTGAAAATGCCAGGCCGGGCTCAGTGGCTCAGCCTGTAATCCCAGAACATTGGGAGACTGAGATGAATGAATTGCCTGACCCTGCGGGTTTGAGACCAGTGAGGCAACTTGGAAGACCTTGTCTCTACAATAAAAAAAAAATTAGTCAGGCATGGTAGCACGCACCTGTACTTCTGGCTACTTGGAAGGCTGAGGTGGAAGGATTGCTAGAGCCTAGCAAGTCGATGCTGGGGTGGCCGTGAGCATGTGTGCCACTACACTCCAGCCTGGGTGATGGAGTAAGATTTCAACTCAAAAAAAAAAAAAAGAAAGAAAGAAAGAAAGAAAAAGAAAGTGCCAAGTGGGTGGCTGTTGGTCCTTCTTGTCCTGGAAGTCAAAGTGAAATCATTTCTGTCTGTGTCCTGGGTGAGATCTGGTCTTCCTGTTTCACAGGATCAAGCCAGCCAGGATTTGGGTGGAACTGAGGCCAAGGCCGCCCTACTTCTGATCCTGGCTCTCATCAGCACTCCTGTGCTAATAACATAGTCTTGATATAAACTTTAAGAAGCTCAGAGGGTTTAGAGCATGGAAAGACATGAGAAGGTAATCCTAGTCTCGCTGAGGAATCGATTACACTGAGGATTGAGTGGAGAAGTGCCACCTGCCTCAATGAGGTTGAATGTCACAGAGGGACGTCGTTTCTTTGGCTAGTTCCATCCAGTATTCAGAAGTCAGGTCCAAAGCTGGCAGCTAGTTGACCCGAGAGTGCTTTGGCTAGTTCTTTAAACTCCTTGCTCCTTCCTCATCTGTATAGATCACAGAGGTTACCACCCTGTGCTAATGTCTGTGTCAGCTCTAAAATTGGGCAGTGGATGCCCTTTCTCCAGGTCTTTGCTTGGCAGGATCGTGATCTGTCATGTGCTTGAGTGGCTCCTCAGAGACCTTCCCTCAACACCCCAGCTGTGATCATGTCCCCTCCCTTTATGGGTTCTTACCACCCTTTCCTTCATAGCACTTGCAGTAAGTACTCTGTGATTAGTAATTCTAGTCAACCATTCATGTTCATGGCTTCCACATCCATGAATTCAGCCAACCTCGGATTGAAAATGTTTGAAAAAAAAATGGCATCTCTATGGAATATGTACAGATGTTTTCCTTGTCATTCTTCCCTAAACAATATGGTATAACAATTATTTATATAGCATTGACATTGTATTAGGTATTATAAGAAATCTAGAGATGATTCGAAGTACACAAAGTTTATAGAGATGCGCATAGGTTATATGCAAATATGACACCATTTTATATGAGGGACTTGAGCAACCCACAGATTTTGGTGGCCAAGGTAGGTCGTGGTGCTGTTCTGTTCCCCTGAGGATGCCTGGGGTTGACTGGGCTTGCTTTTTTATTTTATATTCCCATTATAATGCCCACTGTGCCCTCTTTGTTCAACATGGGATCCTTAATTCCTTGTGTTTGAATGAATGAATGAAGAAAGGAAAGAACATACAAATCAATTACTGGAAGAGGAAAAAATTATTCCCCTCCACTGAAAGAAATATGGGCTTGGATTGGTACTTGTTGCTTCTTGCCTGAGACATTAGGGAATTTTTTTTGGCAGTAAATGAATCCAGGTGTGTCCTATATTTAATTTACTCGGGTTCTCCTAAATCTGCCAGGACAGTTCCATATAATTTGGCTTAATATGTTTTCCCCTGGGGATTTGCCCAAAATGAAGTGGTTTATTAGGACTTGCCTGCAAGAAACATGAACTGAAACTAATGATTGAATTACATGACAAATGACTAGAGTGGGTAGAATGCAATTTCCTCTTCCTTAAGGGACTGGTCTTCATAATAAGAACTTCTATCTTTATTTGCCAGGTAATAACCATCACTGGCATTTGAAGTTATAAAAAAGAGTAAGTACGTATTTAGCAGTTCATGACTCAGTGAGGAGCCATACTTAACAACACAAAGCTTGATTTCTCAAATGGAATCAAATGGCATTAGGAAACTTTAAAAAGAGGCTGCATACAGATATCCTCCTCTCTCATCATACATACACACTCACACTTTTTCTTTTTTTCTTTTTGAGATGGAGTCTTGCTGTGCTGCCCAGGCTGGAGTGCAGTTGTACTATCATAACTCACTGTAAAGTGATCCTCCTGCCCCAGCCTCCTGAGTAACTGGGACTTTAGGCATGTGGCCCCATACCTGGCTAAACTAGCAGTTATTTGAATAGCTTTTCCCCTGTACCCTACTGTATGCTGTTTTTGTCTTATATTTTGATACATCAGCAGTATTTTATCATCAGCAACCTGACTGTCCATTCCTCTACCTCTTCCCTGAAAAACAAAAAATTGTTTTAAGTGCAGCATGAAGATCTTCCACCAGCATGTAGTGGAGTGAGCATGGCTTTTCACACTTTACTGTGCATCAGAATCACCTGGGGTGCTTACATCGTGCCACCCAGGTACCCTCGACCAGGTCCATCAGAATCTCCAGAGGTGGGACCCGGTGTGAGCTTTCCTGTCAGCTGTTTGTTGTGTGTAACTGCTTCTCAGCTGACTCTCTCCAGGGGTAACCTGAAGAGAAATTTCTGACTTGAGTGTTTTTTGTGGGGACCTGGGCAGGGTTGGGTACAGGGGACACAATGTAGGAATGATAACACACATGGGGGAGCTGCTGAGATGTAGCTTGACAGGTGATACTTTAAAATGAGTTGTTGGTGGTCTTCTGAGTGACCTTTCTTTTTTATTTTTTGAGTTGGAGTCTCAATCTGTCGCCCAGACTGGAGTGCAGTGGCCGCTCCCAGTCACCGCACACTCGACCTGCTGGGCTCCGGCAATCCTTCCGCCTCAGCCTTCCAAGTAGCTGGAATTACAGGCGCATGCTACCCGACTAATTTTTTAGTTTATTGTAGAGATGAGGTCTCACCAAGTTGCCCAGGTGAGTCTCGAACCCATGGGCTCAGGCAATCCACTCACCTCAGCCTCCCAAGGCGTGGGATTACAGGCTGAGCCACCGAGCCCTGCTGAGTGACCTTTCTTACACATGCTTTCTCAGAAAGACGCATAAAAGATAAGTCCTTCATTTGCATCAAACTGTATTTAGTAAAGTAGTAACATAATCCTAGCATGGTTTATTCTTATAAGTGGGCTTTGGTGACTAAGAAGCTTCAACTTTGTAATGTGTATTTTCTATACTGCACTTGATCTCAGTCAGAAGGCCAAGAAACAAGTCTGCTCTAGATAGTTCATGCTATAACTAAGATACCTCAAAGAAGGTGTTTATCAGTCATTCTGAGTAATGCACTAGGAAGCACTTGCATAATTATTAGAAGTAGTATCTAGCTCTCATATAGGCATTTGTTATGACATTTGGGACAAAGGATTGAAGAAAACATTTTTCATGTAACTCAAGATTTTTATTGTAACTCAAGGTTTTGAAGTAGAAGAAGGCTGAACGCAGTGATTCACGCCTATCATCCCAGCACTTTGGGAGGCTGAGGCAGGAGAATTGCCTGAACCAGGGATTCGAGACAAGCCTGGGGAAATTGGTGTGACCTTGCCTCTACAATAAATCAAAAAAATTAGCCAGACTTGGTGGTGCACACCTATAGTTCCAGCTGCTTGGGAGGCTGAGGCCCAAGGATCACCTGAACCCAGCAGATCTAGGCTGCAGTGGCTGTGATCGTGCCACTACACTCCAGCTTGGGTGACAGTGTGAGACTCCAACTCAAAAAAGAAAGAAATAACAAGAAAGAAAGAATGTAGAATAGGTTGGGGAAGTAGAGATGAAGGATTTAAAATAGCCCCAACTCAGCCTCAAGCAGTTCGGAATTCCAAAGAGAGAGGCATTTTCCTTGCATGACAGCTTATCACCAAATACCATCTTCTAAGCTAATAACCTTAATGCCATGTGGAAGGTAGGTTTTTTTGAAAGTTCAATTTTTATACACTTAGGTATTTCATTAGTAATTTTTGGGTTATCTGTGAAGGTAAAAATAATAATAATAAAGGTCACCTAATGGACCAGTTTAAAGAACTCAGCAGAATAGACACTGCCAGGTAGAGAAGAAAAGAAAGAGAAGGCTGTGTGTGCTTTTCAAGCCTTGACTCTGTGAGAATTAACCATTTCCAGATATGTTACTGTTTTTCTCATATGCAAATATCTCTTCATTTAGGTTTTTGTAATATGTTCTAATAAATTGAATTGCTTCTGTGAAAAAAATATGACTGTCATACTTGTAGGGAAATAGCACTTAATTCTCAGGTGATTGATCTCCGCAAATGACATGATGATACCTTATAAAAAGACAGTGAAACCATAAATAAAGGCCTTTCCACATCTACAAGTTCCCTGGGACTGTGCCCCTCTGCAGCTGTTCACCTGAGCACTGCGTTAGCTTTGAACCAGCCTGTGTGCCTTTCTCTGACACAGGCATTATACATATTTTACTTAGAATAATAATTGACAATTTTGGGCTAGAAAAGGAAGACTAAAAGAACAGCATCGCTTATATCGTGGCAACTATGCCCTAGAGAGTGACTGATTGTGAAGTCATTTTTTTTTTACTTAATGAGTGTTGTAAAAGTCAAGAGACTGACACATTCATAATATATACCATGCATTTTAAACCAATTTCTTTTAAGTGTGTGGCTGTAGCATAACGAACTAGGAAGCACAGTGGCACTGGGGGGTAGTGTTACAGAGGGAGTGGCATGTGGAAGAGTTTGGTTGTGAACATTAGTTCTGACTCGTGGATGCAAAAGAAATGGCCATGAGCCAGTGTAGGTCAGATACTGAAAGTGAGCATCACTACTTCCTCACAGTGACTGCTTTCCGTGTCTAAGTCAGAAGGTGGTGTGGAGTGTGAGTGGAAAGTGATGATGTTTCTGTCAAGTAGCTCATGTCCCAATCTTAATGAGATTGGGAATGACAGGAATGGAGAAATCAATAAGGTGGCCCCAAAAGTCTTAGGAAAAAGATACTTTCTGAGATCAATATAATTTAACCCCCAAAAGTGAACTGGTACATTTCTTTGCCACAACAGAGAACAGTTAGTTGTATGTGGTGCTCACTATTCTGGATTCCCTCAATAGGTAACTTAAAATGTCACTGTTGTGCTTTTATGGCCTGAACTGTATTCGCAATGGCAACCCGGGGAAAGAACTAAACCTTACAGGTCTGAAAAGACATTGTATGCATATTAGAGCCAGCTGAATATGCCTGTAATGCCCTCAACCAAGTTGACTCTTCAAGGTCAAAGTACCCCAGTCCCTGATTTTGCACCAGACCCTGGTGGAAAGAGACAGTCAGAGCCAGGATATCATTCTTCGCATGTTCCCCAGCAGACGTACCGGAAGAATGTACAGCAGATGATGCAGTGTCTGATCCGGAAGCTTGCTGCACTCAGCCAGTATGAGGAAGTCCTGGCAAAGATCAGCTCCACAACTACAGACCGGCTCACGGTCCTCAAGACCAAACCACAGTCCATACAGAGGGACATCATCACTGTCTGCAATGACCCCTACACTTTGGCCCAGCAGCTGACTCATATAGAACTGGTAAGGCTGTTACCATCTGCACCCTTTACAGCCACAGACTGGGTTTGCTTTGGCAACCAGACAAAGTATTTGTCAGCAATAATGTCACAGGAGAGGTCAGAGAATAATTCAGATGGGAAATAAGCCATGAGATAATGTGCTTCCTGCAGGCATCTGAATATGGATACTCCTGATATTCTGGGAATTCACTTGTAAATACATATAAAGTAGGTCTGAAGAGCAAATAGTTTATTGACCTTCTTCATCTTCTGCCTCCAGTCAGTTTTTTTGTTCAGTGTTTCACATCTTATAGGACACTGACCTAAGCAGAAAATTGCCTGTGCTTAGACCTTGAAAATGATGATGATATTTAGGGTTTGAGGCTTATTTTATAATTTGCATTTAAAAATGTGGTGCTGCCAGAAGTCAATAGAGGGAGTTGACAGCTCATGTTTTGATCTTTTCCTCAACACTGTTGACCTGCTGAACTTGTGTTTCAGGAGAGGCTCAATTATATCGGGCCAGAAGAGTTTGTTCAGGCCTTTGTGCAGAAGGACCCCTTGGACAATGACAAGGTAATCATTCTACCCAGAGGTCAGCCCTGGAGCCAGATACAGAGTTTCCTAGTCTGTGATAGTGGATATAAGAGACAAAAGCTGAAATCACAGGCTTTAAAATTAGAAAGTTTTTTTTTTTTCTTCCATTAGTCATGTTTGTGGCAGTTTTTCTTGAGCTAGGTCTATGAGTGCCTTTATGGTATTCTTACCCCCTCACTGGCTGTTAGTCTCTTCTTCCTCCTTATTGAAAAATGTAATAAAACCTTTACAGCAAGTAGATACAGGCAGTTGTGGTGATGAAGATAGGAAATAAAAGCATGATGGTTTTAGAAGGTTAAGTCAGAAAGAAAATAAAAGAGAATGCCCTCCCACCTCCTGCTCTTGATTCAATATGCATGGGAAGTGGAGAGAGGATGCACTTCCCATTTGCTGAGCAAGGGACTTGGCTGCTCTGCCTCTGTTTCTGTATGAGAGCCCATGATAGGCATATTGCCTGAGTGGAGCCCACATGGAAAGCAGTACTATGCATGGACTGTAAAATCCATGTGCATGTATGTGAAACTTTTCCCCAGGGACTATGAAGCATTTTGAACTGCTAGACCGAGACTGCGTCACCCACTGATGAAAGCAGTCCTCTGGGAGGAAGGGCAACAGCTGTTTTCCAGCCTCAGAATAGTTTCTCCTAGTACAGGAAGCAAAGAATCTGTTTTGCAGTAGAAGGCTAGTGGAGTTTTTTGTTTGTTTCTTTTTGGAAGGAAGGAAAGAGGGGTGTAATTACCTCTTGGAGCTGGCCTTGAACTTCAAGATGAGATTAACTTATTTTGCTTTTGAGCAATGTGTCACTCAACCTACTAGAGACCATGATGATGTGGACTTATCTACCTTGGAAGATATCTAGTTTTTTCTGACAAGATGCACTAAGATTTTATTATCCTATATCTTAATTTTAAGAGAAAATTTTCTAATCCTCTGCACCCTTAGCCACTCTTTGCTGTGTTGACAACAATTGGTATTTGCACCCCATTATTCAATCAGTATTATTTTAGAATGCAGAGAGGACCCTTCCTTTGAATTGTGCTTCTGAGGACAGATTACCACCCAGAGTAACTTAGTTTCCCAGGAAGGGAGGGAAGGACACTTTTATGAATGCATCAGAGTATATTTCTAGACGTTAGGTGTTCACTGGACTATCCTAAAAGATTTTGATATTTCTGTAAGGATAATCAAGGATGTTAGTGGTTCTCTTTCCCTCCTTCCATCCTAAAAAGCTTTCCTAATCAGTAAACTGAGAATAAAGGCCCATATTTGACAAAATGAGAGCCTAATATGTTCTTTTTTTCTCTCTAATTCATCTGATCACTTTGCCTCTATAGAGTTGCTACAGTGAACAGAAGAAAACACGAAACTTAGAAGCTTACGTGGAATGGTTTAATCGCCTCAGCTACTTGGTTGCCACGGAAATCTGCATGGTGAGAGAACAAACTTTCTCTGTCTTCTAGCTCTCAATGTTATATGTTTATACTTACTTAAGAACTATTAGGTCTACATATTCGATAATTGCCTCTGTTGTCTTTGTCTGTACAGCCTGTAAAGAAGAAACACCGAGCACGAATGATTGAGTATTTCATTGATGTGGCTCGGGAGTGTTTTAACATTGGCAACTTTAATTCCTTGATGGCAATAATCTGTGAGTATTTTCTGAAGGATACATGTCTTTCATTTTTACAGTTCCTGTGAAATGACCCACTGAAAATTTGCAAATAGTATGATTTTATTAATGAAAAGTGTACTTTTTAATCCTGAGTTATTTCAGATTGTTGAGAATGCTTTAAATAGCCAAATTGGTGCAAATATGCATAGTCTGTCTTAAGTATGCAAGAATTAATGGAATACTTTAAGTTAATTTATTCTTAGCTAAATATTCATCTATAAAAGCTTTTGAGCAAGATATTTAATCCAGAAAGTGTGCACATCTATGTATTTACCCCATAGAAGTGCAAACACATGTCCACAGATAGATTTGTAAAATAATGCATGCAAGCAGCATTATTCATAATAGCCTTAAAACAATGCAAATTCCTGTTTACAAGTGAATGGCTAAATAAATTGTGGTATATTTGTGCAATGGAGTACTATTCAGCAATTAAAATGAATAGTTGGTACATAAAAATAACATGGATGAACTTCAAAATCATTATATTGAGCAAAAGAAGCCAGACACAAGAGTATATACAATGTGATTCCATTTATATGAAGTTCTAGTCCAGATAACACTGATCGGTGGTGATTTCTGTTCTGATTTCTGTGGGAGGGTAGAGACTGACCAGAAGAGAGTTGAAGGGAACCTCCCAGGATAATGTGTTCTACTAGTCTTGATAGGGGTGGTAATACATGGATTTATACAGTAGTCAAAATCCATCCTGTTGTATAGTTAAGATCTGTATGCTTTTTTGTCTGTAGCCTACTAGCTTCAATTAGAAAGAAATCTCCCACTTCTGGTCTTTAAAATGTGAATGCTGTTAGCATGGAATTAATATTTGTACTCCTTTAGGCTAATGTGGATTCCTTTTCTCTATAAATTGCCACTGTCCTATTCTTCTAAGTAGCTGTGGTCCATGAAGTGTCCTTCAGGAGAGGTAGCAGGACATGTTGGAATGACTGTGGGTTAGGGTGTCAGATCAGAGTGAGCTTCCGTCTCTGTTACTTGTTAACTGGATGACCTTGGGGAAGTTTCTTACCCCCTGGAGCTTCAGCTTATTCTTGCAAGAATGTTGAGGGGATATATTTGGTAATATATGCAAAGCACAGTTGACCCAGGAGGCTACAGGTCAAGAGTCAGCAAACTACAACCTGTGGGTCAAATCTGGCCCACAATTGGTTTCTTTATGGCAGTGAGCTGAGAAAGCTAAGAATGTTTTTTATATTTGTAAATGATTGAAAAAAGTCAAAAGAGTAATAGTTCTAACATGTGACTATAATATAAATTCAAATTTCAATGCCTGTCAATAAAGTTTTATTGGAACACAGCCATACTCATTTGTTCATATACTTATTCACATGGCTAGAGTATGGATGTTTTTGCACCATTGTGACAGTGGTTTGTAGTTGTGACACAGACCATATGGACTGCAAAGCCTAAAATGCTTACTATCTTTCCCTTCATAGAAAAAAATCTGCTCACCCCTGCTCAAATAAAATGGTAGCACTTATGCTGCTTCTGGGCTTAAGGAGAATTTGCAAGAAAATGTTGTAAAATTGGAATATATTGTGACTAATTAGTTTTAGAACTCTTACACTTAGTAGTGAACCCTTTTTAGGAGTATTGATTAAAATGGTTTGTCTTATTTCTCTATTTTCCTTTTTTCTCCCTCTTCATTTTAAATGGAAAGCTGGCATGAATATGAGCCCAGTCTCTCGGCTAAAAAAAACCTGGGCCAAGGTGAAGACTGCAAAATTTGACATTCTTGAGGTATGTTTTGCTATTAAGCAACGTTTTGTACCTGGAAAGTAGAATTTGTTTATATGCTCTTGCCTCTTGGTCAGACACTACCTCCTATCTATCCTTACAGACTCTTGGGAAGGAAAGGGAGAAGAATTGGAAGAAGGGGAAATAAATTGGGTGGTGGGCTAGTCCTTCTAAAGATAGACATGTCCATTTGAGGCCTGATTGACTAGAGAAGTGGTGACCTGTTGATCACACCACCTTCTCTGCCAGAATGGAATCTAGGTTCTGAACAGTTGAAAGAAAACATTTATTTGGTATATTTCATGCACATGTGTTTGTGAGAAGGATAAACCAAACTCCTGATGAATCCCTTATTTTGAATGCTTTGATGTAGAGCTTAATATGTGATCTTAAAAATTTCCTACAGGTGAGAAATAGTTAATATTCTTTTCTTTTATCTGCAGCATCAGATGGACCCTTCAAGCAATTTCTACAATTATAGAACAGCTCTTCGTGGGGCAGCACAAAGATCTTTGACTGCTCATAGTAGCAGAGAAAAGGTTTGTACATGTGAACTGCTACGTGGAGCCTTTTTTCACATGTTCAGGTCTAAGAAAGAGAGATATGTGCTGTAGAAACGATGCCACCTGCCGGGCAAGGTGGCTCACACCTACAATCCCACCACTTTGGGATGCAGAGACGAGAGGACTAACTGAGTCCAGGTGTTAGAGACCAGCCTGGGCAAATTGGCAAGACCTCGTCTCTACAATAAATAAAAAAATTAGCCAGGTGTGGTGGCATGCGTCTATGGTTCCAGTTATTTGGAAGCCTGAGATGGGAGGATCATCTGAGCCTAGCAGGTTGAGGCTGTGGTGGCTATGAGCGTGCCACTGCACTCCAGCCTGGGCAACAGAGTGCGACTCCTACACACGTGTGTGCGCACACACACATACACACACACGAAAGAAGGAAGAGAGGGAGGGAGGGAGGAAAGAAAAGAAAAAAAAAATGCTTGCCACTTGCCAGGAAAGTTGGACTGTGAAAAGGGAAAGATGACTTGGTGTAGAACTTGCAAATGTATTCTTATGTTTTATTATTACATTATTACTTAAATGACCTCTGTGTTTCAAGTGATAAATTAGGTCATGTATTGAGACAACTAGTAGCATTAGAGGGCAGTTTGGTTTAATGGAAAGTAGACATTTAAGCTCTGCACAAGGTAGCTAAGTTAATGCAACTTTTTCTCTTAAAAGAATTAGCTTAGCTCCCACAGTGAAGTCATTTATTCTTAGAAAGTAGGTTGTTGGCTGGGCTCAGTGGCTCAGCCTGTAATCCCGTGCTTTGGGAGGCCTGAGCCTACAGGTTCAAGACCCACCTGGGCAACTTGGTGAGACCTCATCTCTATAGTAAAAATCAAAAAACTATCCAGGCATGGTAGCACACGCCTGTAGTTCCAGCTACTTGGAAGGCTGAGGAGGAAGGACTGCTGGAGCCCTGCAGGTCGAGGCTGTGGTGGCCAGGAGCGGCCACTGCACTCCAGTGTGGGTGACAGAGTGAGACTTCAACTCAAAAAAAAAAAAGTAGGTTGTTACTGTAGCATCAGACCTGCTGTTACTAATGGATTAAATGTGGGTGGCAGAAAAAATACAGGGGTGATATCTGAGAAATTCATGATCTCACCCTCTACCCGACTCTTGAACAAGTCACTGCAGTCCTGAATCTACCATGCTTGTGACTCTGAGGGTCCTTCCTTGGTACATTTTAGTGTCATATTTACTGACGACGGAGAGTCAGCTATTCAGCATGTGGTGGTCATGTGATTGAGCAATGAATACCTGGTTAAGGTAACTTGATTCATAAAGGTTGCTTGATGAAGGTTATTTTCTGTTTGGATTCCATTCATCTTTTAAATTAAACTGTGTCTTCAACAAATAAAAGAAATTGGGGGTTAAAAAGCAAGTCATAGCTTCTCAACCACTTCCCCTGCAAAGCTTCATCCTCAGTGATCTAACACAAAAACAAATATAAAACCCTACCCTACCTTTAAAAAATGCTAAGTTGGTTCTCAACCAGATCTGAATAATCAGTTTTGATAATGTTTCAGAGATATTGTAAGTACTTTAACTTTTTTTTTTTTTAATTAAGAATCTGAAACAGTCAGAGAGGAGGTGAAGCAAAGAAGGTCTCCCTGTGCCTGACCGAGTTGACCAACTTTTAGGTTTCACTTGCCCAGGATTACTGTGACTAAGTGGATAAATACCTAATCTGAGGTTCTTTAAGCTCTGGACAGTCAGCACATGCATGGAAGGACCCAGCACCCCACCATGTAATGTGTGAGGATGCACTAGAAGCTGTGTGTGGCCTCACCTCTCTCTGTGTTGCATGTAAGGCTGTCAGCATGGGCCTTCATGAGAGGATGGTGGATCTGCCTCTGTGAGGAGTCTGTGGGATCATTCTCTCTATTTCAGTTTTGTTATTTTTTCCAACAGATTTTATGTGAACATGAATTGTACTCTATATTCCAGTACAATGAAATCACAACCATTTTGAAAAAATATGCCATTTCTTTTTCACAATTGCTCTCAGTGGCTGAGAATGAAAATGTTTCTGGTTAAATTCATCATTCTTTATTTTAAAAAATTGAATCTTTTTTTTTCTTTTTTGAAGTAAGGGGGGACTCTTTATCCTAAAGTAATTTACTATTTTGCAATCTTCCTGGCAACTTAAGTAGTGAAATAGAATCTTTGATACACTTTCAAATCTCAAGTTTATGTGGTTGAAGTGGCCCTTCTCTAGGTACCTGTGATGGAACAAAGCAAATCTGCCTTCCACACAGGGCCTTTACATGTTCTTTAGATAGCTGTTTTTTCTGTATGTTCTTGTGTCTCCAGGTTTTTAAATCCTTTTGCCATTCTGGTTGCCCTAGAAGCTTGCCTATTTATCAGCTTTGATTTCTTTTTTTTTTTTGAGTTGGAGTCTCACTCTGTCGCCCAGACCGGAGTGCAGTGGCCGCTCCTGGCCGCCGCAGCCTCTACCTGCTGGGCTCCGGCGATCCTTCTGCCTCAGCCTTCCAAGTAGCCGGAATTACAGGCATGTGCTACCACGCCTGGCTGATTTTTTGATTTATTGTAGAGATGAAGTCTCGCTGCCCAGACGGGTCTCGAGCCCGTGGGCTCAGGCAATCCACTCACCTCAGCCTCCCAAAGGCATGGGATTACAGGCTGATCTAGGTACAGTTTTTAAGGTACAGTTACTGGGTCTTTGAATTAAGAATATTTTGAAAGGGAATTGGAAAACATTATTACTTGAAAAGTATCCCACTAAAAACATCATTGGCAAGAAAACTCATGTAAATCCAAAGTCTTTATAATCTGATTTTTACTGTGAGATTTGTATGGGGGTTATAGATTTGAAGGGAATGACCCGAGAATGAATGAGAAGTAGAAGCCATGAGACTTCTTTCTTGCATAAGAGCATGAGGAACAGAACAGTGAATTATCCTAAGGCAGGCCAAAGATTGCCACCAGTCCATGGCCTATTAGGAATGGGGCCACACAGCAGGAGGTGAGTGACTGCAAGTGAGCAAAGCTTCATCTGTATTTACAGCTGCTCCCCATTTACTAGCATTACCACCTGTGCTCCTCCTCCTGTCAGATCAGCTGCGACTCCTATGAGAATCTAATGTCTGATGATTTCCCACCCCACCATGGAAAAATTGTCTTCCGTGAAACTGGCCCCTGATGCCAAAAAGGTTGGGGACTGCTGACCGAAGTGACATTAGTTGTATTTCTCTTTCCTTGAAAGAGTGATTCAGACAATCAGTAGTGGAGCATCTTGCAGGCACCTGAATGCAAAAATTACTTAAGATATAGCCTCTGCCATCTAGAATTTATAATCCAACTGTAGGCACATGGTGTGAATGTATGAGAAGTTTAAATATCAATATGAGACAGTTAAATGATCAGCACCTTATGAATCTCACAGCTCAGCACCAAAAAATAGAGCACAAAAATAAAGTCCTTTCTTAGAAGCTGTTATGGTACACAGATATGTCATCTTGATGATAATTGTGTTCTTGTTTCACTGGGGCTATTGTATGATGATGTATCCTTATTCTAGGTGAATATCACCTTGGACACAGTCATACAAAAGCAGATGTAGACAATATGTAGATGAATGTGTGTGGCTCTGGCCCAGTCAACTTCTGTGGCCACTGTCCTTTAGATGTCATAAAATGTTCATGCATCATGAAAGGTTATTCTTTTGATTTTTTTCCCAGCCACTTATGAAAGTAAACCATGTGGCTCCTAAACCATCTAAAAGTTGCCCAAGGGTCACAGTGTGGCAGCTCCTAGCCTATACCACCAGTGAACTCTGGAGCCAGTTTTTAAAATGGTGTCTGACTAGGTCAAAGCTAGGTGTTTTCCACTCACAGGTAGTCTTGCAAGAGGCAGGGTTTAGGTGTACCTTATTGTCACAGCGGCTGTTTAGTTCTAACATGATAGAGAAATAGCCAACAACATAATTAGCTAAATTTACTAATTCAGCTTTAGAGAATTCCACAGATAATAACAAATGATTAAAGGTATATTTAAATGGGCTGCCAAAACTGAAGATTCATGTTAGTTATTTTCAGAGATCAGTGAAGGATAAAAAAAAAAAAACAAAGCTCATTGTTTTTTAAATGACTTTAGGGGAAATCTGAATTTCTCTCTGGAAGTGAATTGATGCTTAGTATTTTTGTGCATGAACTGTAAAGAAGGTTTTCGCATTTATCTGGTGTAGAGTTACCACACGAGTCATAAACTCAGGAGACTTCAGAAACTTAATCTTGGAGAAGCAAGAGAGACCCACAGTCTGTGTTTGGTGCATTTTTTGCATTGTAGGAAATTTAGAATCTTTAAAAATATTTTGGCATTTGAGAGGAAGTGAAAATTATTGTATCTGAGTCTTGTTCTCTGTTCATTGTGGATTTAGAATGATATAGGGGACTTAGAGATTATTATTTTAGGTTAATTAATTAAATACTTCATCAAACCAAAGAATTCAGGCAGCCAAGTATTATGAAAGAAGGGTTTGTTTTTTTCTAAACAACTATTAATTTTAATTTGTATGTTTATCTTCTTCACTTGGGGCTCATCTGTCTCAACACATATTGTACAAGGTGCTTCTTCGGGGATTTCCCAGGAGAGCAGGTGCTGACTTGTGCTGTCATACATACACAGGCCAAGTTGACTCAGCAGCAGCCATTGCCTCAGACCTTGAGCTCTCCCACTGTCTTGAGCATCGTCTTCGAGGGTAGAAGTAAAATGTTCATCTAGAAAAAGTTGATCTGGAATGTAGACATCCAAATAATACGGCAATATGAGGGGAACCCAAAAACCCCAGAATTTATTTATAAAAATTGTGTATTTATTCTTCCATGTTTAAACTTTAGTCATCTTCAAAGTACTCTTCGTTTGATGGAATACACCTATCCAGATGCTTTTTCCACTGCTCAAAACAGTTTTGGAACTTGTCCATTTTGATGCCTTTTAGTGCTTCTGCCATTTTTTGTTTCATGTCTTCCACATTGGCAAAATGTTTCCCTTTGAGGATTTTTTTCATGGGGGGGCGGTGGGAGGAGAGTTTCTAGGGGCAAGATTGGGTGAATAGGGAGAGTGGAGCATGAGGATCATGCCGTTGTTGATCCAGAAATGCTGAACACTCAGTGTGATGTGGGCAAGTGTGATCTAAATCATCATCATTAAATAGGCAAAGCAAGTGTTGAAAGAATCTCCACAACAATGCAGCCTCTCCTAACAACACTAGTGATAGGGGGATGCTAATGGGTTCCTAGAATACTCACCTAGCAGGGGAAGCCTGTGTTACAAAGGCCTGCCCTCTAAAAGATAATTCCATTTTGTTGGGCCCCCCTCATAACATATTCTGGCAGGGAGATGGGCCATGGATCTTAAACTCTTGGTATCTGCAGTGACAGGTGTTTGATTAACATTTTGCTAAGGGGTTGCTAAATAAAAAGCAAGAGTTCTTTTAGGTATTTTTTCTTTCATTATAGCTAGAATTTTCAGTTTTTATTGCATGCTACTGCATTAATAAAAATAGAAGAAGCTATAGAAAAGCACTTAACCTATCCACTTCTCAGTGCTACTTGTCCTTGCTTTGTTTGGGTTATTAACAGCATTTGTAGCTTAAGCAAAAGTATGTACAGGAGGAAACTGCTCTCGTGGAAGAAGCAAAACACTACCTTAAATCACTGTAGCAAGGCACGTGATCCAAAGTTAACACTGACCATTGATCTCTTGTATTATTTGATGGCAAGGCTAAACATCTATCTGCCTAGACAAACCAGAGATCTTTTGTTTTCTCTAGATTGTGATACCATTCTTCAGCCTCTTAATCAAAGACATTTATTTCCTCAATGAGGGTTGTGCCAACCGCCTTCCCAATGGCCATGTCAATTTTGAGGTGAGTGTGATAAACAAGACCCAAGTCTGAGCACAGGAAGGGGCAGCTTCTCCACCACTGCATCCCAGACCAGGCCACTGAAACTGATTGGGCAGTTTCGGGACACTTTCTCTCTCCCTACTATTCTGTAAGAAATAACAATACCAAGCAGAAGAGGGTAGCTGCCCCCTTATGATTATTACTATTTGAGGAAACTGAAGGACATTTTTACCTATACATAGAATATATAGCTTTTATTAAATTAAGAAAAGTCTATAATTCAGAATAACAAAAACAAAAATGGGCAAGGTGTGGTGGCTTACCCCTGTAATCCCAGCGCTTTGGGATCTCTTGAGGATCTCTTGAGGCCAGGAGCTTGAGGTTGCAGTGAGCTATGATCATGGCACTATACTCCAGAGTGGACGACAGAGTGAGATCCTCTCTTAAAAGAAGAAAGGAGAAGGAGAAGGAAGCATTTTAAAATGAAATTTTCTCTTCTAAGCTCATAATTTTTTAAAAAAATGTTGATTACCTTTATATTCTTTTATTCTCTTCCAGAAATTTTGGGAACTGGCCAAACAAGTGAGTGAGTTTATGACATGGAAGCAAGTGGAGTGTCCCTTTGAGAGAGACCGGAAGATCTTGCAGTATCTGCTCACAGTTCCCGTCTTCAGTGAAGATGGTGAGGCCTTTCAACTGGACCTGCTACTGGCATCCCCAAACCCTCTGTCTAGGAAATAAGCACAGAAATGCTTGGTTCCTCATATAAACAATCCTGTCTTCTGATCTGTTCCATCTTAAGAATTTTCCATTTTGCAGAAAACCTGTGATTTGCCCCTAAAATATTTGCGCTTAATAGTCACCCATAAACAGCATATTTCTGTCTTTGGGTGATCTTTATGGGACCAGATCTGCAAAGCTTTGGGGACAAGTGGAGTTATTGATGGATTTTTTTTTCTTGTTTGGGCTTACGTCAGTGGAGAAAAATATTTTTGTGGTATGTTGACCATCAAGGTAATTTGGGGGAAAAAACAATCTGGCAAATTACCATCCCCTGCTGTTGGAAAAAAGTAGTGGAAAGTCTTGACCCATTAAAGCATTAGGGAATTTGAAGCAGAAAAAGTGATTGAATGTGCACAGAAAAAATTCACCAGAAGAGTTCATAAAATACTTGGGAATTTATTCTATTGATTTGTTATATCCAATATTATAGGCATCAATATCACCTGTTAATGATTTCTCATAGTAGATTGATAGTATTTGCCATAATAACTGAAGAACATTTAAAATTAATGTTACCCAGAAGGGATTTGATTGCTTTTAATATGTATAAATAGAATTAATAACAAACTTTAAATATGGGAATGGAGAGTCTTTCTGATTTATAAAGGAAGCAAAAATATTAGAAAGATGGAAAACTGACCTTGAAAATATGGCTTTTTATCCTAGGGTTTATGTATATTTTTTTAAACTAAGGCTACCAGGAAAGACACCCCCCATCCCTCTCTTTGTAAAGAATGTAAGTCTGAGCATGTGACAGCATCATAGGGCTTGCATTTTGTAATAAGCATTTTTGCCTTATAAACTCTTAGTTAACTAAGTGCCTTTTTGACCCAGAGGCCCTTGGAATTTTGTTGAGTTGGCTGAGCAGAGGCAGAGTGACACTCTGTGTTCTTTGTGTATATCAAAGCTTCTAGGTTGTGATGTGGTATGGTAGAGTGTGCTTTGCTGTAGGGGTTGGCAAGGAAGGGATAGAGTCAGAGGATCTGTCGGGAGAGGGCCTCCATGTTAACGCTTTTCTCCTGGTTGTTTGTAGCACTCTACCTGGCTTCTTATGAAAGCGAAGGACCTGAAAACCACATTGAGAAGGACAGATGGAAGTCTTTAAGGTGAGTGTCCTTACGGCTTGTGGTCAGCTCTACTTGAAGCAAGCCATGGACTTCCTTGGGACATGGACGGCCACCTGCTGCAAGTCCTCTGCATTCTGTTGCTGTCAACCAAGTCTTTGTGGCTTAGAAATCTGACTACCTTCCTTCAGTTTCATGATCTTTCATTTTCTATACTGGCAGATATACAGTGACTATTCTTATTCTCATCCATGATTTAATGGAATGAGAGACTGAACCACGGTGTGATTAAAAAAAAAAAAAGCACTGACTAATTTTCTTTGTCTAAAAGATTAGACTTTTTATTTCTGAGTAGTTCCAACACCAAAACTTTAATTTTATTTGACCTTAGATAAAAAAGAACTAAGTTCCAGTTGGACTGTTAGAGTTAGGTGTTGCTTACCCACTGGATTTCTGTCTCCTCTTTGGTTTGAGAGAGAGGTGGAACTTATTTATGTATTTATCGAGTCAGAGTTTCCCTCTGTCGCCCAGGCTGGAGTGCAGTGGCATGCTCACAGCCACCACAGCCTCATCCTGTTGGGGTCAGGCCATCCTTCCACATCAGCCTCCTGATTAGCTGGGACGACAGACCTGTGTCACCATGCCCAACAAATTTTGTGAGTTCTTGTAGAGATGAGGTCTTGCCAAGTTGCCCAGTCTGGTCTCAAACCCCTGGGCTCAGGCAATCCTCTCACCTTGGCCTCCCAAAATATTGGGATCGCAGGCGTGAGCCACCAAGCCTGATTGAGAGGTGGGATTTTAAATATAATCTGGAGTTTTTTTCAACTTTCAAATTTTGATATTTTATTTGTATTTCCAAACAAAACTAGGATAAGGTTAAATTTGTACTTTAAGCATTTGATATATATTAATAGGAAAAATTGTTGTCGTCGTATTTCTGCTAAGAAACTCTGGGAGGCTAGATGCAGTGGCTTACGCTCGCAACCCCAGCACTTTGGGAAGCTGAGCTGGGAGGATTGCTTGAGCCCAGCAGTTCAAGGAAACAGTGAGCTATGATTGTGCCATAGCACTCCAGTCTGGGGCCAGAGTTGCTAAAAAAAAGAAAGAAATATTCAGTTAAAAAAAAGAAAAGAAGGAGGAAGAAGAGGAGAAATAACAATAACTCTGGGAATGTACACCTTTTTGTACTGGAATTGGCAAGCACATTTTTTCTTCCTTTTATGGTCCTAGAGTCATTTGGGAGCCTTCATTATACTTTATATGAGGCTGGGTGCCTGCTGGGGCATATCTCAAAGTTGTGTATAATGTAACATTTGTATCAAAATATACGTACTGCATGCTTTAATATTATTCATGTGCAAAGTGTGTGAGCCTCAGAGTGTATGTCTTGATGGATAAAAGATTTGGGAATGGATGACTTCAGATAAGTTTTGCCTGTCATTCTTCTTCTTTTTAACCCTTCCTTTCTGTGTTTTAAAAGCATTAAGTTTAGCAAGTCCCTGAGTATAGTTTATCCATTGCTACTTTTCCTGTAGAGTTTTTTAAAAATTGATAAGCAAAGTAACTATGCATCAGTGATACCTGATGTCTGCATGACCTGTGGCATCCAGCCATATTAACTCATTTATGATTGCTGACGTGAATTTACGTCTTCGCAAATTCTGTTTCTGATTGCTGCAAGGTTGCCATGTGTATGTGTTATTATATTTTGCCTGAAAATAGTGAGGCAAGGAGAGAGAAAGTTAATTGAGATAATTATCTGATATCAACTGCTCAATGTTGTTATTGATTTATGTAGTTGGTAAAAATTGCAAGCTGGTCATTATTTTGTTGCGATTAGTATTGTATACTTGTATTTTGATATTTCAGGGCTTTCATACTTCAACACTAAAAATAATGTACCATAATTATGGAAAATTAAGAAATATATGCTGATGAGATTTTCAAGGTCGAAAATGAATCCAGTGGACTTATTGGTGATAGTGAGATAGAGATGTAATTATAGATAGATATGTAGATAGAGATGATAGATAGATGTAGATAGATAGCTTATGACAGATAGAGATGTAATATAATGAAGAAATATATATATAATATATATGCATAATATATATTTGGAATCCAAATAAAAATACAAAGGATGATAATCAGAATGGTGTCTGAGACAAGTACTGCATGTGTCTGCAACTTTCAGCTGTATTGTAAAAAAGGTGACAATTTAGAAACGACCGTTTCACTTGTGCTTAACAGCAGAAGTTTGTGGCACCCAACTTCAGATTTTTAAAAAATTTTTACCCACTCTTAGTATTAGGAAAGTGAAAAATTTGCCAATCACAAACATGTTAATAAGATAATTCAGGCCTACCTACAATTCTTTCCTGGTTGTTATTCTTTTATGACATATTCCTTTTAATTAGTGGTTCAGTTGTAAAGGTTCATAAGTCAAAGGCTTGATAGTAAAAGTTGAGAAGTGAATTGTGTAATCTTCTCCTGTATCTGATTATACTGCTCACATACTATACAATAACAATATTTGATTGAGTGAAATGTAATCAAAGAATTTAGCAGAAGCCGGGCTTGGTGGCTCAGCCTGTAATCCTAGCGCTTTGAGAGGCTGAGGTGAGTGGATTGCCTGAGCCCGTGGGTTCAAGACCCACCTGGGCAACTTGGCAAGACCTCATCTCTACAATAAATCAAAAATTAGCCGGGCATGGTAGCACGCGCCTATAATTCCAGCTACCTGGAAGGCTGAGGCGGAAGGATTGCCAGAGCCCAGCAGGTTGAGGCTGCGGTGGCCGGGAGTGTGCCACTGCACTCCAGTCTGGGTGACAGAGTGAGACTCCAACTCAAAAAAAAAAAAAAAAAAAAGAATTTGGCAGAGAATTTAGAAAGCAGAAGTGATAAAGAGTATATGCTGGCTTAAATTCAGACACAAATTTGTGAGTCTATCTGCAGTTGTACTTTGGTCAAAAGCACTCAGTAATGATGTTTCTGATAAGAATTTTTTGGAGACTGACAGTGGACCTGATCAAATGAACAATGTATAAGGAACTACGTATATGAACATAGCAAAGATCTGTTTTTTGGCATGAAGACAGTTTCCACTGTCTTGTCAGGGTCCTCGCAGAGCTGCCCCCTGAGCTGGTGTTCAGGCCGTGCAATCCATCTCGTGTCCTGTCTGTCCCATGGCCCAACTCCCCACATGTCTCCCTGGAATGAGTTCCTCCTGAACTCACGCACTCATCAGTTTTCCTCCCTTGTTGCCAGCCACGTGTTGTTCTGTGTTTGTGGTCCTTTTCCAGATTGTTAGGTAAGCCCCATTAGGGCAAGCACAAGTTCTTCCACTCAAGCCTGTCCCAGCTTGGGACACTGCTTTACCCTTCACTGCCTGCAGTCCAGGCATCTGCAGTGTCACTGAATGACAGTGCCTTGCTGCAGGGGTTGGCCAAGGGCACAGTGACCCCAGAAAACATAAACAGAATAAAATAGACTGTTATCATGTACAAAGCTACATATGACACTCAGACTAAGTATAATCGTCCCTGGGTGTCCATGGAGAACTGGTTCCAGGACCTCCTGCAGATGCCAAGCCTGAGGATGTTCAGGTTCCTGATATAGAATGGTGTGTTTGCATATAACCTGTGCACATCCTCCCTTGTACTTTAAATCATCTCTAGATGACTTAGCATATGTATAATACCTACTATAAATGCTAATATACTAATAGTTGTTATGCTGCGTTGTTTAGGGAATAATGACAAGGAAAAAATGTCTGTACATATTCAGTGCAGACAGGCTTTTTTGTCAACTATTTTTGATCCAAGATTGGTTGAATTCACAGATGTAGAATCCAGATACAAAGGGTGACTGTATTCTAGAATGGTAGTGCCTACATGACAGCTCATGTATGCATCAGCTTTAAGCGCAGTACAGTATCTTGACATAGATGCTTTCTTTGCTGACACTAGAACCCTCCACTGCAGCCCTTCAGTCCATCAGTGGCAGTGACAGGTATACGTGCGGGTAAACCCCGTCGTGTCAACCACTCCTTACACTCTCCCAGCGTCCCTGGAATGTGTTGTGAGGATGCTTATATCCATTAAGCATACCCATCAGTGATAAGATCAGCACACACCTAAAAGCTCCTTATCATTCATGATCTTTGCTTTTTGTTTTTGTTATAAACCTACCCAAGATAGAGATTTATTCATAATCAAAGCTTTGTTATCTCCACTAATAAGTATTTGTTTTTAAAGTAACTGTTTTTCCAAAGGACCAGTAGAATTTCAAAGCTTGAAGCTTTTTGTTGTTGTTTTTTTTTTCTTCCTGGTTTTACTGTGTAAAATCAGGGAAAGATAAAATGAGTATCAGGGAAAGCATTCAAATCCTAGTTCCAAGAGTCTACCACATTCTATCTCACATGGTTTTCTTTATGACCTAGGTCAAGCCTCTTAGGCAGAGTCTAACATGTGGGAGTGATTGTCTCTGCTGCCACCGCTGCTGCATCCTGCAGCCCGGCGAGGGACTGGCCTCTGTGTTCCAGCATCCACTACCACGAAAACCCATGAAGACCCTGCCGTCATTGGAGTGCTCCGGTCAGCAAAGCACGCAAGATCGCCTGGGAGCAGATGGGGGACTTACTTTCTGCAGTTGATAGATGGACTCAGATTCTGAGAGACTGAAATGTTCACTAAAGACACTGGAGAGAGAATTGCAAAAAACCCCAGCTCTGCTCATGATTCATCTCCTGGAATTTCCATGGGAATACCGGCTCTGCACCTGGACAGAGTCTTCTTTTGTGTATGTGTTCTCTTATTTGGTTGGACATTTGCTGCTAACAGGACTTGCCCAGCAGAGTGCTGGCTCTGAGGAAGCCCAGTTTCTTTGTTAACTTAAATGCAAAAGGGAGAGGAAGAGGGGTCTAAAATCCCTCCATCCAGGGTCCCCAACCTCAGCTCAGTGTTGCCAGCGGGCTCGGCCGGCCGGCTGCTGGCCGTGGGCGCTGCTCGCTCTTGTGTGTGCCGGGCTGTAAGCACCTCACCTCCCTCCTCCGACGAGGTTTTGAGTTGGCTGCTGGTTAGCAAACTCCTTTTTACCCACATAAGTTATTTAATATAATGATGAAGCGCAACACTGTGGTAGGAAAATAGCCACTAGGGAGAAAAAAAGCAGAGTGTGTCTTTGGACTGCTTCCCATGCTAGAAGGCCTTTTTATTTTTATTTTTTTCTTTCTGAGCTGTTTACAGCTAACCACTTTGTTCTACAGATGTATTTTTCAGTTTTTTGTTACTTAGTTTTTCATGACACCTGGTTTTTTTCCTCTTGTAAATGTAAGTGATCTGACTTTAAGGATCTTGAGAAAACTCATGGCATAATTACAATTTAATTTTTTTAACTGTTATTTTTTCATTACTTTTTGGAGTCTGTTGGTGACTAAACGTGTCAACAAAGAATAAATTAGAAGAGTTACCAGCCACCCCCCACTGTAGCAGTAAACAAAACAGATGAAAAACACCTTGCTGTTAACTCAGTGGTCGATCTAATTGTGAAATAGTTCTCCTTGTTAAATATCTAAGTAAGCCTGTCTTCGCTCTGCAAACAGCCTTGTATTTATTTACGCTAGGAGACACTGTAGCGTAGTCATCTGTGCTAATTTAAAAAAGCAAAACACCATGTTCTAAACACATGTATTTGAAAACTTAATAACATGGTTCCAAAAAACAGAGCTTGTGTGTAAACTGCACGTCATCTCAGCAGACCCCAAATGCCCCCCATTTTCCCTTTACAGCCATCAATATATTTGACACTCTGTGGCCAGGAGTTGTGACTCTTTCTTTTCTTTTATGGATGGAATGTTGGGGGCGGG